TTGATTCATTCGCCACAGATTCAGAGGATTTAAAATTGTGTCCTTGTCATGCATTGAATATTTATATCAATAGAACGAAAAACAGTCAAATAGGTTATTTGTGACATAAACAGAATAACCACAAGGAAGCATCAAAAGAATATTGCAAGATCTTAGTTAGCATGGTTCGTTTTGCTTATGATAATGCAGAAGCAGCAACATTGAATCTAAGAGCACATGACACTAGACGTTTGTCAACTTCCTGGGCTTTGTTCTGTGGTGTATCTGCAAAGATTAGGGCAGCACACTGGGCATCTGAATCTACTTTTACATCATTTTAAAAGATGTTCCAGATCATCAGTCCATTTTTGCCAAGGCAGCAATTTTGGACTCATCAAGGAGAGGGAAGCAAAAATAGGTAATTATGTACCTTTTATGTACTTTTGAACTTTTCCTCTTTGCTGCAAATTCTTTTGCAAATAGAAGCACAGGTTGAAATATTGAAATGAACTTGGAAATGAGATATTTACACTTACCTGCCTTACCCAGCCCACCTCCCCTCTCAAGGAAGTTGAAAGGTCAGAACCTTTTAAGTTCGTCGAGAGAAACTGAAGAGTTATAGTTAAGGGGGATAACTGGAGGTGATACCGTAGTTACTCTAAAAAAATATATCGACGCATTGTATGGGGAACTAGAGGGAAATTGCAAATAGTTAAGGAGGCAGGTAAGTGTAAATATCTCATGAACACGGATTTTACCCCCAAAAATCCAAAAATTGAGGTACCGTATAATCCTTATTAAACGTTTTTTGGTCTTTAACAATTGTCTCTGGGAGCAGTGATTAAAATCAACAAGAATCAAAAAATTAAAGAAAGTGAAAATGAAACTTATTTATCCAATTTCTTAGTGGAAAATGAATAATTTAGCATTATTTGGGTGGATTGTCTTTACTTTAAGTAAAGTTAGACATTATATTAGTGGTTCCTTGTATTTTTTTTTCAAAAGATGTCTTGAAATTAAAATTTGACATTTAAAAATATTGTAAAGAGAAAACTAAAATAACCGCCCCCTATTTGCAATTTTCTAACCGACCGGGGCAGTTTATAGGGATTATACGGTATTTCTTTCTCTTAACATATGTCATTTACTTCTTACAGAAATTTCAGATGCAGAATTGTTTATGAACATTTCATGAATATTTTGTTTCACTAAAAAATATTTACAAGGGTGATAATGGAACGTGAACTCTTGTTGATGGATGAGTATTATTTTACAAGCACAGAAAACAATTTGATATTCTGATTAAAAAAGCAACACTTCAGTATGTTTTCTAATGAGAATTAGATAGGTATTAGAGTACAAATTATTTATATATATATACCTTTTACCGTATAATGGGTATTGTTTACGTGCTGCTAATTATGTTCCCCTAACGGAATTTCGGAACATATTGTTTTTACTCTGTTTCTTATTATTAAGGTCTTCCGTTTCCAACGGAAGACCTTATTGTTTTCGTTCAGTTTCTTTTTCCCTATTATTATTATTATTCTTTTTTTTTCTTGCCGATTTTTGTCCACGCGAGTTCTCGGAAACGGCTCGGTCGATTTTCATGAAACTTTCAGATCTGATAGATATTTGTCTGAACCTTATTGGAAATTTTTTATATGTAGGCCGTCACTTCCGGTCGTGAGCTATGGGTGATTTACTGATTTTTAGAGGGTCAGCTTGTCCTGGCAATCACTCCAAACGAATAAAGATATTGACTTGAGATTTTCAGTGAAGGTAGAGGAAGGATTGCTGAATTGCTTTTTTGGGTCTATATCTTTCCAGCACAAAAGGCGTTGAAGCTCGCGTGAGCTCGTTATTATTATTATTTTTCTGACCATCTAATTTTGTGCACGCGATTTCTCAAAGACTACTGGATTGATTTTCATGAAATTTGCAGGAACAATGTGTTGTCATCTGAAGTTATTTTATCCAACAGATTTTTCGGAAATTACTTTCTGGTGCCAAGTTACGGACAATTTTCTGATTTTAAAATGACATTTTGTTCGTGGATAATCTCAAGAATGGTAAAAGATATCACTGTGAAACTTTCAGGGATTATAGATCGTGATAAGTACTACCCAAGACGCTATCTTTTGTACGTCGTCTCTACTTCCTGTCGTAACGGCATGCAAATTTAAAAAGTCGAATTTTTAAACTTTTTTGTTTTTCAATATTTTCAAATATATTAGTATGGTTGATAGAAAGTTTCTCATTAGGCTGAATATATAATTTTTTTGTAAATTGATAAATTCAAACTCGAGATATTAACATTCAAAAATCTGAAGCGGGACCAAAATGGCGGCGGTCTCTTTCAATTCCGACATTTTGCAATAGGGGTTTACAGAGGCAGCCGAGCGTTAGCTTGAACGAAAGTAACATAAGGAACAATGAAATGTGTAGGGATACTTGGAATGTCACTTCGTAGGTTGGCTGCAATTCTGCGACAAACTACATTTATAATCCAAGGTCTCCTTATAAGTCTTCTTTAATTGGTTTTGGTTGTTTCTCAAAGTAGAAATAGAAAAGAATTAATGTGAAAATTAAGTACAATATCTACTAACTTTTGTTTTGCATCACGGAAACACATAGCTTAAATAAAGTTATAATTAATAGTTTTTCAAGAAACAATATACGAGGGGTTATCAAAAAGTTCGTGGACTGAGGTTATAAAATTAGTACTTTGTAGTCTGTGCTTTCAAAATTTATAGGGAGCATAAAACAACAAAAAATAAGGAATTGTTGAAAATTTTAGCTAGATACGTTCATTATTTGCCAAATTATTATAAAATAAAAACGACATTATATGATCACCCGGCGCTGTTGTCGTTTATTTTCATGACGTCCGACGTCATTGTTTATTTCAATGTCCTCTTCTACCTCATGCACTCTTTTAGATGAGATTCCCTGGAGCTGAGTAAGGACTTAAACCCGCCTTGTTTATATGACTCTACAATGTCATGAACAGTGGCTTTCAATAATATAATATTCCAAATGGATTTATACATTAGGAGAGATCCTCGCTTGATTGTGTCAGTATACTTTGCTTTTGAGAGTTCAATATCTACAACACATGATCAACGTCATTTTTTGACGCGATTGATTTTTCACACCTTGACTACAAATTGACATTAACTGTGTATCCCTTTTCTCCCTGAATATATTTTGACATTAAAAGACAAGTATTCTGGGTGCATATTATTTCTCTGTAGCCAGTTTAAACATTTCTTAGGTCTATACCATTTTTTCAGGGGGCAACACTTGATAGAATGTTGGAAAAAGAAACCCCTCCCCCTTTTTGATGTCATTTTCAAGGCCTCATTTATTTGGACATTCCATGTAAAATTTACAATAAAATTTCATAGAACTTACAAAATGAAGTGAAAATTTAATATTTTATGGAAAAATTGTGTCCCGACACGTACCTGAATTAACAGGATTTTTGGATGCCAAATGTTCATATCAAGAGTTTTTTCTCAGTTACACATAGGTCGCGAAAACGTCGTGTTCTAGGTTGCGCCGCCTGGACATACCATTGCTTACAAAAACATTACTAATTTATTGAAAAATAAAATTTATGATTTATGGTTTATTCTTTAGATAGAAAAGATGACGCAAACTAAATATTTAAAAATTCATTGATGTGCCTAAAGCAGTTTTAATTTTATAGCGCTAGTCCACGAACTTTTTGATAACCCCTCGTATATAGTAAGTACAAAACGCGACCACTGTTTTCCCATGCACACTTGTGTCATATTAAACTAATAGAAAGGACAACTGTTACAATAAAAAAAAAATTTTTTTTTTAAAAATTACTATTTTTCAAAGACCGTTTAATTGACCTATATAACCTTTTTTTTTTCTTAATGCAAGTTATTGAACATAATGAAATCTTATTCCTTGACCCTCGTAGGGCGATCGAGGCATTTTTTTGGTGAAACATACCACCTTTTTCATGAAAGTGTAGGTAATTGGAAGGGTCCACTTTTGTGATTAAGAAGAATTCTTGTGCCTTTTGATATTTTTATCCTATTAATGGAATTATCCCAACACAGATCTTATTCCACGAGATATCGGACGGAAGACCTACTCGTTGCTCGCAATGAGATCGCATCTAGTTATTATTATGTCGCCCAAGACGAAGTCGGGGACGACATATTGCTATTGTACGCATTTTTTTTTGTCCAGGCGTTTTCTTGGAGATGGCTGGGACAATCTTCCTGAAACTTTCCTCAAAGGACGATCACTGGTTGTTGTTGTGCCATGTGGTCATTCAGTTTCAAAATGGCTACCGTTGCCATGGAAACCTGCAAAAAGCAACGAATTTTGACGAACTTTGTCCGCGAGTGTTCTCTCTGGTCCCTTGAACATTCGTCATGAAACTTTTTTATTTTAGTGATTAGTAATTGTAGTTTTGCGATTTGCATTTAAAATTTTTAAATAATCAATTATTGCCATGGAAACCAGGAGAAAGTTAAAATTCTTTAATTTCAATTTTCTCAATAACTACTCAAGCAATCGTTTTGAAACTGTCAATGTTTATTCCTTGCAATGTGTCAGTGATTTCTATTTTTAAAATAATTGTAATGAGTCGCTCACAGTTGCCATAGAAACGAAACAGAGAAATAGGTTAAGATGTATACGTCTTCTCCAAGGTCTAGGTCAAAGTTCTTCGTATCCAATAAAAGTTCTTTTCACAAGAATACATATTTGAAATAGGAAAGCCCTAGCCCTTACCATTCAAACGTTATGGCTAAGGTTCTATGTTCAAGACGACCCCCCACCCCCTCCCCTCCCCGAAGGAAGCGCACAGCCAGGTAGAATACAAAATATAACATATACAACTTACAAGTAACGTTTTAAAAGTTTCATTCATAAAATTCAGTTCTCCTGATGTGATCTGATATTTTGCCAACATTCATTCTTCTTCTGTCTTGTCTCTAGATTTTATAATTATTTTATTTTGTCTATAAAATAAAGTGTCACGCCACAGCATGATACGCCCGTCAAAAAATTACAATTACAATGTATCTTAAACAGTTAAAAGTGCAGGAAAATCATGTCAACCTTGATTTTAAGATTTCAATGATTTTTACACACCTTAAAAAATTTGTTTATCCATCTCCTGTGGTGTAGACATTAATTATAACAAATATTGCATCATTCATAGATTTCTATTCCTTGCCAAATGCCTATCATATTAAACAATATCAAATTAGTCTTCACAACTTAATCTATACCTAATTAATTTTGGAAACAAGAGGCCCATGGGCCTTATAGGTCACCTGAGCATTATGCAACAACTTTCCAGTGATTGAATTTGATCCATGTTTTAAGCCAGATGCTATAGCATTTACAATTTTGATCATCATAACTATACACTTAGCAGTTGCTTAGTTTGGTTACTTAATACCCATAGGCAGGGTAGGGGAACAAAAAATGCATTTGAACAAATCAGTAATATTCAGCAATAATCAGTAGTGCCGCTACCACACATGAACCCTTGACTCTTAGGCCTAGATCCACACATTGCACAATTTTTGAAAAGGCATCCTTGCTTTTCAAAAGTATTTGATTAATACCAAGGAGCAGATTTCAAACAATTCATCATTTTTCAGTACAGACCCCCCCCCCCTCTATGGTACTACTGACCCTGGGGCCTTGAAATTCACAATTCTGGAAGATAAGGACCCTTGCTCATAACTATATAGGTAGTTCATATGCTTAATACCCAGGAGCAGAGAAGAAAATATTCAAAGATTTAATGTTTTTTCACTATATAATCAATAGAGCCCCTCCCTAACACCAGAACCCCTGACCCTGGGGCCATAAAAATTTACAATTTTGGTAGAGGCATTCTTGTTCATCATAACTATGTACTTAGTTAGTTTATTTAATACTTTGGAGCAGAGAAGAAGATTTTCAAAGAATTAATGTATTTTCACTATATAATCAATAGAGCTCCGCCCTAACACCAGAACCCCTGACCCTGGGGCCATAAAATTCACAATTTTAGTAGAGGCACTCTTGCTCATCATATCTATGTACTTAGTAAGTTTATTTAATACCTAAGAGCAGAGAAGAAGATTTTCAAAGAATTTGTGTATTTTCACTATATAATCAAAAGAGTCCCGCCCTAACACCAGACCCCTGACCCTGGGGCCATAAAATTCACAATTTTGGTAGAGGCACTCTTGCTCATCATATCTATGTACTTAGTAAGTTTATTTAATACCTAGGAGCAGAGAAGAAGATTTTCAAAGAATTCGTGTATTTTCACTATATAATCAATAGAGCCACGCCCTAACACCAGAACCCCTAACCCTGGGGCCATAAAATTCACAATTTGGTAAAGGCACTCTTGCTCATCATAACTATGTACTTATGTAGTTTATATAATACCCAAGAGCAGAGAAGAAGATTTTCAAAGAAATAATGCATTTTCACTATATAATCAATAGAGCCCAGCCCTAACACCAGAACCCCTGACCCTGGGGCCATAAAATTCACAATTTTGGTAGAGGCACTCTTGCTCATCATAACTATGTACTTAGTTAGTTTATATAATACCCAGGAGCAGAGAAGAAGATTTTCAAAGAAATAATGCATTTTCACTATATAATCAATAGAGCCCCGCCCTAACACCAGAACCCCTGACCTCGGGGCCATAAAATTCATAATTTTGGTAGAGGCACTCTTGCTCATCATAACTATGCACTTAGTTAATTTATTTAATACCTAGGAGCAGAGAAGAAGATTTTCAAAGATTTCATGTATTTTTACTATATAATCAACAGAGCCCCGCCCTAACACCAGAACCCCTGACCCTGGGGCCATAAAATTCACAATTTTGGTAGAGGCACTCTTGCTCATCATAACTATGTACTTAGTTAGTTTATTTAATACCCAGGAGCAGAGAAGAAGATTTTCAAAGAAATAATGCATTTTCACTATATACTTATTTAGCCCCACCCTAGCACAAGAACCCCTGACCCCAGGGCCATGAATTTCACAATTTTGGTAGAGGACTCAGTGCTGATTACAATCATGCAAACAGTTTGACTGCTTGATGTTAAAGAAGAAGATTTATAAAGATTGCATTAATTTGAGTGGTTTTGGCCCCACCCCCAGGCCCCAGGGGGGCAGGGATCATGAAATTCACAATTTTTGTTTCCCTTCACCCATAGATGCTTTGTACCAAATTTGGTTGAAATTGGTTCAGTGGTTGCAGAGAAGAAGCTGAAAATGTTCAAAAGTTTACGACCGATTGACGACGAACAACGAACGACGTACGACGACAGACGAAAACAGATAGCAATAGGTCACCTGAGTGACTCAGGTGACCTAATAAAAGGCTGGCCATCAAATATAAACTGACCAACAGTTCTTCTGTCTAATTCCCAAAGGATACAGATAAGACCATGCTCTGAAGAAATGAAAGAGACATGCAGCTAGCCTTCCTACATTGAACACATTAATTAATCTTTAACTGGATGCTTGTCTACTCATTACTCCCAAAAGATTATTGGATCTGCACTATCTACCATAAAACATTTTTAAAACATATAAAACATCAATAATTTTTTTTTTTAGATTTAATGTCAGACAGTTAATTGTTAATATGCAATTCATATGGACATGCAGATTCCACCCCTACCCCCATAAAATTAATTTTTAAGTTCATAATATTATGTAATATCAAAATAGTTTAATATGCAATATCAAATTTGTTTTAATTACTTCTCATCAAATTCATTTTAAAACTTCAGATAGCCAACAAGAGCTATTTTTAATCCAACAGGCTTACCCATTTGGCCAAATACTCAAGGGATATAGCTAGCACCGATGCTCTTACAGCTACTCCTCTCACTAAACTCATTAATTTCTCTCTCTAATTTGACATGCAATTTTCTGTTATCAAAATTCTTCTTGACCAGTGCTTGATAATTAGACTCATGGGAGTGGTGGAATTTCTCTAACATACATTATATTTGTTATAGATTGCTGTCAAGTATATGCTAAAAAAATAAGTATTTTCTTAATTTAACATTTTTCTAATAAGGTTAGTGCAATAGTTTTACATTTTTTTGAATGTGTAAATGAATAGAAAAAAAAACATTTTTTTTTTAAAATTCCACTTAAATTAAAGGTCACAGTGACCTTGAAATAGGTCGCGACACACCTTCTACCTAAGATGCATAAACTGGCCAAGTTTGATGATTCTAAGTCTAATAGTTTTCTAGTTATGGACCGGACAGGATTTTTCCATATTTGGCTATAACTTTTTAATTATAGGTCAGAGCGACCTACTTTTTGTGCGCGACACACCCTCTACCCAAGATGTATCAGCTGACAAAGTTTGATAACTCTAGGCCTTATAGTGTTAAAGTTATGAGCCGGACACGAGAAAAGCTAACAGACGGACGGACGGACAGACAGACGGACACGAAGCCTATAACATAATACGTCCCGTCTTAAGACGGGCGTATAAAAAATAACGATTGTCAGCTGCATTTATTAGCATTTCACGTTTTCTTGTATTTCCATTACTTGTATATTAATAATTTCATTAGATAATGCATGTATCAATTAGAAAATTGGTACGTCATTTCCATAGTTTTTATTCATTCATAAATCCTTGGATCCGCTCCTGCAGGTGCGCGAAGCCTTGATCACCACTGTAAACAAAACATTCATCTCGCCGAAAATGTTCAGGATTCCTCTAAACTGATAAAGTTTACACATGATTTATCATCTCATAACAAACATCAGCCCTGCCATCAGAACCTCTAAAAATGAAAGTGAAAGTAGCGAAATTTCAGAGTTCTCACTGCGTTATAATACACAAACAAATTCGGCTGATCTTCTTAATAAATTACATTTGCCAAGCTTTTTTGGTAGGAAAGATACTGCCAATTAAAAAGTATGAGGCTCAGTTCAGTACATCTGCCCAATTTCTTTTATGCAAGTCTGCAAATTTAGGAACTTGTAATTTTTTCCTGCACTACTTTCTTCTCCTACCGATTCTAAAAATAATTAGTGGGATGTACCTAATTAAGGTCTTCCATTTCCAACGGAAAGGACTGATACGACTCGATGGTTGTCCAAGCTTAGCTAATGGACCATTGTTTTAGTGATGATAAAAATGAAAGTCTTGTCCAGTACGGGGCGACATATGCTATTGCTTGCAATAGCAGACTTTCTAGTTATTATTCTTTTTTCTTCTTATTTCTTCTCTGGTACTTTTTTGTCCGCGAGTGTTCTCAGAAACTGTTCACCCAACTGAGCTAAAACATTTTGAGGGTTAATTGCTGTGTAGTGTAGGTGGTCAGAACGAAGGTCATTTTGTGCGCATACGCATGCATGTGCATGCGCGTGATATGAGTGAAATGACTGATATACTTAATATAGCTATAACTTTTTAATTTTCTAATTAAATGATTTGAAATTCATTATATAAAGTTATATTAATAGTGTAGATAATGTCAAATTAGCATGAACTCATGCATGCACGTGCGCTTCGCTCTGATTGGCTGAAACAAAAACCTCAAAATCTTTTCTGTTTTTTGACAAAATGCTATGAAATTTGAAACATAGGCATACTTTAGGATGTCTTACAATATGAAATGTAACTTTTGTCATCAAAACACGCGCATGCACGTGCGCTGCAAACTGATTGGCTTAAACTTTAAATGGCTATAACTCTCTTGTTTTTCAACCAAACAGAATGGGATTTAGAACATAGACAGACATAATAGACTCCTACAAGAGGGTATCATACATGCACGTACGAGCACATGTGCTTTGCTCCGATGGGCTAAAACAAAAATCTCAATTATCTTTTTTGTTTTTTGTTTTTTGACAAAATCCTTTGAAATTTAAGACAAAGTCATGCATTAAGATATCCTACAATATGATGTATAATATTTTCATGTAATCACACGCATGCACGTGCGCTGCAATCTGATTGGCTTAAACTTTAAATGGCTATAACTACCTTGTTTTTCAACCAAGCAGAATGGGATTTAGAACATAGACGGACATAATGGACTTCTACAAGAAGGTATGGTCATCATGCACATGCATGCACATACGTGCATGTGAAATGAGTAAAATGAAAAATACGCTTGAATGAGTGTATTTTTTAATATTTTTGGATTAAATGCTTTGAAATTAAGTATATTAAAATAAATAGATAGTGTAGACAAGATGATATGGTCATTCCGCACATGCATTCACATAAGCACGCGTGCAATGCTAAAATTTAAATATATTTTGTATTCTTTTGGAAAAACGTTGTTTAAGTCTAAATTGCATAAAGTACGTCTTATTAAATACAGCTTACAGGGAATATGGCACCAAAAGGGAGTTGGGGAGCGTTTGGGGAACATCTGTAACAGTCCCCATTACAATTAGCCCTAGTTTTTACTAATTTTTACGAGTTTTATGAATCCGTAAAATTGAAATGCGTAAAATTTCACAGAAGTAAACAAGAGGCCCAGGGGCAACATTGCTCACCTGAGCACATCGGCTAGGAAAACACACAAATCAGATCAGAATTGATGAAGAAGATTTTTATAGATTTTTTTAACATTTTGTTTGTATATATTACTTTGTAATAATTTGAATTTGACTCCCCATCATTTCCCTCCCTACCCCAAAGGGTACTCATGATTTGAACAAATTTAAATCTTCAATACATGAGGATGGTTACATGTCAATATCACTTAACATAGCTTTTCTGTTATTGAGATTTTTTCCTTTATTTTCCTATGTAAAACTTTGATCCACCATTGAGACCCTTCCCGACCCTTGGAGGTTATGATTTGAACAAATTTAATTCTACACTACCTGAGGGTGCTTCCATATAATTATCACTAAGCAATGCTTTGCTATTCTTTAGAAAAAGATTTTTAAAAATATTTTTTAATATAAAACTTGAATCCCCCATTGTAGCCCCACCCTATCCCTGGGGGTCATGATTTGAACAAACTTGAATCTACAATATCTGAGGATGCTTCCGAAAAAAATATCACCAATTATGGCTTTGCAGTACTTGAGAAGAAAATTTTTAAAGATTTCCCTATATATTTCTATGTAAAATTTGATCAGCCATTGTGGCCCCACATTTCCCTTGGGGGTCATGATTGGAACAAACTTGAATGTACGAGGGGTGTTAGAAAAGTTCGCGGACAAGTTCTATTGTGAGCGCGCTATTTCCACGAAACCGGTCAAACTTTCCAGATAAAATCTTTACCTTTTTTCCAATAAATATACAAGAATTTGGTGCTTCTCGATGATTATTGAAACATATACAGCTTTTTTATTTTGATAAAACTTGCTTCACGGAGCATGCTACATTTTGGCACGTTTACATCACAAAGACTCTTTATTAAAATTAAAAATTGCACAATTGTACCGCAAAGAGGTTTATGATATTTTACCTGCCGCTAACATATTAATGAAACGTCACTGGGAGAAATTTTGAACTAAATTGAAGGGTATATGACTGTTTTATAGCCGTTTATAACTGATCAACGCTTAAAAACACAAGCCAAAAATCGGAACGTCATTGAGCGTCATGGAGCACTGCACTGCGTAGAAATTATGTATACAGACTGGAAAATGTCTAAAAAGAGATTAGAATGTTAAAGATGCTGCCGAGAATTTCCTACACCTCCAAAGGACAAGTTTTCAAATGGTTGTAGCTTCATAAGAATGGAAGGATTAACATTTTGAATGATTAGCTCCATCGATACTTCAATACCCCCGTATCGCATGGACATTGCGTTGCGCCTATATGGTTTTGCATAGTTTCCATACCTGATCGATTAACTGCATAGATCCGAATCAGTACAAAAGACATTATATAGAAGAAAAGTAACATGTCTTGATATAGATATTCAATTTTAAAGTAGACAAAAGATAAGAAAATTCTGAAGAAATAAAAGATTTATAGAACTGCGACAAAGCTTAACCGGTTGAAATCTGGTTGTCACATCGCCTTACGTCAAGTGATTGCTTCGTGAATCCCATGACCTCATAGTAAAAATCGGTGTATATTTTCAAGATTTTATTTTATGGACCTGATTTTTTACATACCAATTAACAAAATGTAGGAATTTAACTAGACATAGGTCATACCTCACAGTACACAATAGATTTTCCGTAATTCAATGTGTCCTCAAACTTTTCTAATGACCCTCGTACACTATCTGAGGATGATTCAACATGAGTTTCATCTTTCCTGTCCCAATGGTTCTTGAGAAGAAGATTTTAAAGATTTTTCCTACATATTCCTATGTAAAACTTTGATCAGCCATTGTGGCCCCATCCTACCTTCAGGGGTCATGATTTGAACAAACTTGAATCTACACTACCTGAGGATGATTCCACATGAGTTTCATCTTTCCTGGCCGAGCGGTTCTTGAGAAGAAGATTTTTAAAAATGCCATTAATTTTTCTCTAATTCATAATTATCTCCCCTTGAAAAGGTTAATGTTTTTGGAGCAGGTTAACATTTTTGGAGCAGTTTTTGGTGTAGGTCTCATTTCCAAGGAACTATAGGCATTGCCCCTCATTTGAACAAACTTGAATTCCTTTTACCCAAGGATACTTTGTAGCAAGTTTGGTTGAAATTGGCCCAGTGGTTCTTGAGAAGAAGATGAAAATGTGAAAAGTTTACAACGATGACGACAACGACGACAACAACGACGACAGACAAGGGACAAATTTTGATCAGGAAAGCTCACTTGAGCCTTTGGCTCAGGTGACCTAAAAACGACTGACAACGGACAAATTTTGATCAGAAAAGCTCACTTGAGCCTTCGGCTCAGGTGAGCTAATAATTACATATATATGTTAAATTAGATCTTCTTTTAGTACCATAGTGCTGAGATGATGTTTTTTTTTTTCCTATAAGTAGGCTAATCTGTAATGTTTTAAATGTGAATCATGACATTCTGTAATATTTTTACCTGAATAAAATGAAATGAAATGGGCCAAATCGCTCACCTGAGTAGCTTTCATCATGCTGTTCTTTACCAGATTTACCCTATCCTACCCCAAGGGTCATAATTTGGACAATTTAAAATCTACACTACCCCAGGATGCTTTTGCATAAGTTTCAGCTTTTCTGGCCGAGTAGTTCCTGAGAAGAAAATTCTAAAAGATTTTTTTTAGATAGTTTAGAACTTGGGTTCACTATTGTGCCCCGCCCTAAACCCATGAGTCAGGATTTGAACAATTTAGGATCTACACTTCCCCAGGATGCTTTAACATAAGTTTCAGCTTTTCTGGCCCAGTGGATCTTGAGAAGATTTTTTTTTTTAATTCTATATATTTCAACGTAAAACTTCAGTTCCCTATTGTGGCCCCCACCTTACACCCAGGGGTCAAGATTTAAACAAGTTACAATCTTCACTACCCCAATATGCTTCCACATAACTTTCAGCTTTTCTGGATCAGTGGTTCTTGAGAAGATTTCTAAAGATTTTTCCTATATATTTCTATGTATAACTTTGATTCCCTATTACAGCCCCACCCGACTCCCGGGGGTCATGGTTTGGACAATTTAGAATCTACTCTATCCCAAGATGCTTTCATATAACTTTCAGCTTTTCTGGATCAGTGGTTCTTGAGAAGATTTTAAAAGATTATTCCTGTATATTTCTATGTTAAAATTTGATTCCCTATTGTTGTCCCACCAAACCCCAGGGGTCATGATATGGACAATTTAGAATCTACACCACCCCAAGATGCTTCCACATAAGTTTCAGCTTTTCTGGCCCAGTGGTTCTCAAGAAGAAGATTTTAAAAGATTTGTCCTATATATTTTTATGTAAATCTTTGATTCCCTATTGCGACCCTGCCCAACCCCCATGGGTCAGGATTTGAACAATTTAGAATCTACACAATCCCAGGATGCTTCCACATAAGCTTCAGCTTTTCTGGCCCAGTGGTTCTTGAAGAGAAGATTTCTTAATGACCCCACCCTATTTTTTTTTTCTTTTCTTGATTATCTCCCCTTGTGAGAGGACTTGGCCCTTCATTTTAAAATTTAATATCCCCTTCACCCAAGGATGATTTATACCAAGTTTGGTTAAAATTGGCACAGTGGTTCTTGAGAAGTCAAAAATGTGAAAAGTTTACAGGCGGAGGTACGACGGAAAAAATGTGATCAGAAAAGATCACTTGAGCCTTCGGCTCAAGTGAGCTAAAAACTGCTTTGAAATACCTTCATCATCTTCTTCAATAGCTTCCTCCTTGGGTTTGTACTTTCCAGATTTTATCATCTTTACCATATGCTTGTAGTATGGGTTTAGTGGATTTTCAAAATGAAGAAAATCAAACTGTGGATTATTGGCTTGCTTAGTTTTGATCAAGATTTCCATCTGTGCTCCTTGTTTCGCAACAAACTTTGCTGTTTTCAAAATGATTGCATTGCCTTTTTCTGTACTGGGCTATTGAAGATAAAATCAAAAAGATCAACTCTACCTATCTTGTATACTGCTATCTACATTTTTTATATGATGATAAGTAACCTTTTTTGCTAGAAAATACCAAAAGTACTGTGAAATATACAATTAATGCCCAGTAATTAACACTTTACAAATTGACCATGTACCCTGGTATCTCAATCTGGAGAGCTATAATTACCTCCAAATATTCTTAATTATAAGATGTGTAAAAGCACTAAACAAGAGGCCCATGGGTCTCATAGGTCACCTGAGAATCATGTAACAACTTTCCAACAATTGAATATATATACATTTGTGGTATCTCTCCATTATATAAACATACAGAGAGAAAATATCTTCAATTCTGTATGAAGTTTGTCAGAGGTCAGAGGTCAATACGTGACCTAATCACACGGCGCAATAATATCTACCGGTACATATATTATGAAATGACCTGTTCTACTTGCTTATCATGTATAAAAATGAACAAAATAAGCAAGTAATATGATTTTTATTTACATTGTAAACAAGTATTTCATACAGTTTATTGGCTATCGATTCAACCTATGTATATACATGTAGCGAAAAACCCCTAGCGTTTGTTTACATTATTTTTCACTTTTGTCAGCTGCACAGTCTCTAACGTTCATCCTTATTTTTTGGGTAGACCTTTCCTTAAATTTTCATGATAAAATATTATTTTATCTTTAAATTCTACTCACGATAAATGTGTAAATCTGTTGGAAAATATTATTGCAATCATGCCATGAGCAGCTGCCAAACACCTCGGCGTTTTCGCAGTTCAATGTAAAGCTGTCGCCAGTGTCTCCGTGTTTATCAGTGTTTTACAATAAGTATGCCTTTAGTACTGATATCGTAGAATGTTTTTGATCAAATTGCAAATTAACTGCCTCGGAAAAGTGTCTCAATCCATCGGATCCATCCATCCCTATCGGGCGACCGAAATTCCTCCAACTTTTTATCATCAATCCTCGAATGGGTTTCTTGTGTCTTTTCAGCATTAATTATCAATTTTCAATTTTCACGAATAAAAATATCCCCAGACAACAATCTGTTCACTGTTACTGATCACAAGTAGCCTTTCACAAAATATTCCCTTCGAAATAGATTCCTTAGCCTAATGCATTCGAAGCGTAACCGCCATGCAAGCCGATTTACACCTTGCGTCATTTTTCAAAATCTACGACGGACGGTTAGTGCAATAATTTAAATTTGAAAATACTTAATTGTCTGTCTCAAATGTATATATAAGTAATAAATAACAAGTTTATAAACTTCAATGGGAATTGAAGTAAGTCGGTACGTGATCAAATCTTCTGAGAAGGCCTTCGGCCTTCACAGGATTTGATCACGTGACCGACCCACTTCAATTCCCATTGAAGTTTATAAACTTGTTATTTATTTCTTAATTGGTTTGTGTTTTAACCCAGAGGCCATGCAATTCACAATTTTGAAAGAGGCACCATTGCTTATCATAACTATAAACTTTGCTTGCTTTCTTTGATTACTTTATACCCAGAGGTACATGTAGATCAGAGTAACAAAGAGAAAATGCACTTCCACTTTACAACCAGTTGTGCACCCCATCCCACAGGAACCACTGACCCTTGGGCCACATATTTCAAAATTCTGGAAATTTTATCATGAATTTTATTTCATCATAAATGGTTGATTTCAAAGCATTAATTTATTTTTCAGACTTTGTAACCCCCCCCCCCCTTCAATAACTATGACCCGTGGAGCATGAAATTAACCATTTTGCTAGATGCACCTTTCTTCATCATAAATATATATACTTGGATCATTGGCATAATATCCAGGAGCAAAGGAAAAGATTTTCAAAGAATTAATGTATTTTTACTTAATAATCAAAAGAGCCCCCCCCCCCCCCTCCCACCAAATGGCAAAACCCCTGAAACAGGGACCATGAAATTCACAAATTTGGTTGAGGCACTCTTGCTCATTATAGATATATACTAAGTTAGTTTATTTGATACCCAGGAGCAGAGAAGAAGATTTTCAAAGAATTAATGCATTTTCACTATATAATCAATAGAGCCCCACCTGAACACCAGAACCCCTGACCCTGGGGTCATCAAATTCATAATTTTGGAAGAGGTACTTTTGCTTATCATAACTATATACTTACTTAGGTTATTTTATACCCAGGAGCAGAGGAGAAGATTTTGGAATAATTAATGCATTTTACCTATATAATCAATAGAGCCCCACCCTAATAACAGAACCCCTGACCTTGGGGCCATAAATTTCACAATTTTGGATAAGGCACTCCTGCTTATCATAACTATGTACTTAGTTACTTTATTTAATACCTAGGAGCAGAGAAGAAGATTTTCAAAGAAATAATACATTTTCAATATATAATTTGAACATATTCTATAATGGAAGAAAAACATAAACGGATTCGGCAGTAGGCATAGCCTATATAAGCCCTCTCCACAATACATAATCTATATAGCCCCGCCCTAGCATTAGAGCCCCTGACCCTGGGGCCATGAATTTCACAATTTAGGTAGACTCAATGCTCATTACATTCATGCCAACAGTTTGACTGCTTGATGTCCAGGAGTAAAGAAGAAGATTTTTAAAGATTTCATTAATTTTAGTGGTTTTGGCCCCACCTCTCAGGCCCCAGGGAGGTGGGGACCATAAAATTCATAATTTTTGTTCCCCTTCACCCATAGATGCTGAATACCAAATTTGGTTGAAATTGCTTCAGTGGTTTCAGAGAAGAAGCTGAAAATGTTCAAATGTTAACACAAGACACACCACGCACGATGAAGGATGAAAACGGATAGCAACAGGTCACCTGTTAAAACACCTATTAAATTTTACACATGACTTTATCGTTATGTGACCAAATCTCAGAGACTCCATCAAATACACTGTAAGCGTGAGGACTGGTCTGATACTGGTGGAGGGTTGGGATGTGATAAAATTTTGACATCAATGTATGATTATTCCTTTCATTGCTAATTTGAAAATATAATGAACAAAATTCAGAATAGGTGCACATTTGATAATTAAGCATGTACGTGCTTGAGTTTCTTTTTCTCATCAATCCATTCAGAGGAAATTCATTTTATAAATGATCCATGTAAAATAAGGCAAAAAGAAATTTTTTACAATGTTTATTGGATATGTAATGTTATAAGCAGTAAACAATCAGAAAAAAATCTGCTCGTTGAATGTTAGTTTTCTTCCCATTTTCTTGATTTTGAATAATATTCATATCCCCCCTTTTTTTGTGCCCATCCAATTTATTTAAAATGATTGTCCTGCTACCATTGCAGTATAAGGTGTCATCTCTTAAAGAAGGTAGAGAGATTTTCTTTTTTTTAAATCGTCATATTATTTAGGAATGATTCAAACAATAAAATGCTTGTAAGTACCGGAATTAATGTCGCAGCTGTTGCAGCAAAAAAATATAACTCGCGTAAACACTTATAAATTCCTCTACTAAGAACCAAAGAAAGACGGTTGTTTATATTCATATCTGTATAAATAATCATTCAAAGTAGGATTAAAAGCATAATTGATTATTTTATTATTGATATGTACATGTTTTATTGATGGAACAGGCACTGCTCAAGAAATCTGTATAGATATGCCTAGTGTTGTTCATGCATAGGCGTCAGAACTGGGGGAGGAAGGGGGGGGGGGGCTTAGCCAGCACTTTTTTTGCAAATATATACTTAATATAGGCAATGAAAAAATAGGGGGTTACATTATTTTGTTTGTTGTTCAATTAGCCCCCCTTTCAATTTGCTTCTGACGCCTATGTCATGTGAGGATAAACTGCAATGCTTTTCATATATTCATTATTAGATGTTAGTGTATTTAAGTTATTTTTCATTATAATCTCAAGTAAAAATAGTGTTGTTTTGACAGAGAAAAAATGAATATACATAGCCCCTGACTGTATCACATATCTTTTTTTCCACATCTAATGTACTGCACGTTTGGCTCTCATTAATTTAATTTTTGTACAATTGATTGTGTTTATTTACCATATAAGTAGAATTTTTAGCGAGGATTTAATTTTGGTATTATTAGTGAGAGTGCTGACATCACTAAAATTGAATATCATTAAAAATTAATTGCGTTTTATTTGTAATAGCTTCTTTATTTAGCATTTTAAAATTGCTACAATTACTTCTCACTAAATATAAAATACCAGAATTTAGGCAGAAATTGCTAAATTTAGCGTCTCGCTAAAATTTCCACTTAGGCCAAAATAAAATTATAGTTTGTTTGGAATTGCCGCCTGCCTCATTGAAATACCCCCCGCTCAAAATATTTTATTGGCAAAATATTGCAAATATATTTTTTACCATTTTTTCGTCACATTGTTTATTACAAGTTAGTTCGTTCGTCAAAATAGCTTTATAAAGTCGGGTTTGAGCTCACATTAATTTAACAACATGGGTCAATAAAACGTTTTCTTCATAGTATTTATGATATACAGTTATAGGTGGTGATTTCGCAAAATGAAAGCCGCCAAAATGTCAGACCAGGTGGGATCAACATTCAAGCGTTGAAAAGCAGAACATTTATGCATCTCCATAAAAATAAAAGGTGAATAAAAATTAAATGGAATGATACACCAATACCTGGAACGAGCTATTGTAATAGACTGCACATTGAACTTGATAGGCTAAGTCCGTCATGTTGAAATTAAAAATGATCGTTCTGACAGATCCCAGTTAAAAAATTGCATGGTTCAGAAATGTTTTATGCCAAATACTAAAGGAAAAATGTTGTCTGACAGTATGAAAAGTCTTTGAAACGTAATGGTAAAATTAATTCATGGCGAACACTCAAGAACATACCAAGCACCCCTCCAGCTTTTGCACAAAACACTCCAACAATTCTTATGCAGTTAAGAAATTTTGTGTGGTTCGCACTGTTTGTAAGTTTTGTCTTAACAAAGAGATAAATTTCAAAGAGAAATGCTGTAA